ATAATAATAATAATAATAATAATAATAATAATAATAATAATAATAATAGTAGTAGTAGTAGTAGTAGTAGTAGGTAAGCTTAAAATTGTTTCTCCTTGCAAGGATTTACACTGCTTTAAGGAATTCAAATCCTTCTATATTTTATACGTGTGCCTGGAGTGCATGGATGAAATGCTGGATAAAGTTGAACAGCAAGATGATCCCAGTCCCTCAATCCAATTAAAACTTCCATTTCTTTAGTGTCTATTAAACTATAGGCCTTTCCGGGCAATCCAGCAGCTTTTGTGCATATAAAGCCTTTAGGGCTTGGTATATAAAAGGAAAAATATACTTGTTGCATGAAGCACAACTATATTTGGCTAATGAAAATTAAAAATGAAATACTTTACCTATCATTCAGTTGGCATTCTCAAGCAGCTGACTAAAAATATTTATTATTTCCTATCTATATTATTAATTATTTTCTCTCCCTTGGCCATTTGGGAGGAGGTTGCTACAAAATGTTTTTTAAAAAAAGAGAGAGAGGCAAAAGGTTCAAGAGCGCTTACTGGTCCAATGCTATCAGTAGAAGCTGAACTGACTCTTGTGTCCCAAGCATCTTTTATCAGCTTTATACACCAGTAACAATCTTATCTGAAAGGCAACTATGCAATCACCATTAAACCATGCTCCAGAATGGGTAGTGGGTTCAGTTTGGATTACTGGAATGCACAGTATATAAGGTTACTTTTAGAAATTGCAGTTGGCACACAGAAAAATATAGGATTATTAAATGGGAATGGGGATTTTGACTACGTTACATTTGTTGTATACTACATTGATTCTCAGTCTATTTTTAGATCGATTTTGAAATTAGTTTATTTTTCCAAGCCTGAAACAGCATGTGGAGTCAACAGTATGCAAATAATGTCAATAAATAAATAAATAAATAAATAAATAAATAAATAAATCTACACACTGATTTCCTTAGCTTGTACCTATCCAAATCTTATTATATTTTTCTAAACTTGCTAAATGAGGTAAAGCAGTAAAATTAGATGGCCTTTTCAACAAAGGTTCTTGTGGCACCACTTTCCCAGCACCAGATGAAGACTTACTTGTTGGTGTAGATCTTGAAAACAGTTTATATTTTATGATCAAATCCTCTTGCTTTATAGGCAAGTTTTAATTATGTTGTTATTTCTTAATCGGTTACTGTTTGTAGCTTAAATTTTATATTTGGTTTAGGAGTTGTCTAGAGAACCTACATATAGAGCAGATATGCAAATTTGGTAAATAAGGAATAAAATCCAGTAATTAATAAATACATCACTTTTTATTTTAACTTTGATTCACAGGAAATCTTTTTCTAAGAAAGGAAACCATGCTGCATTTAAATTTCAGGAAGTCCATATAAACCCCAAGCTTCAAAGAACCATGGTAGTTCAGCCTGTAGTAATAACAGATGATAGACTGCAAATCAGCATGCTACCCTCCCATATTGTTGCACAATAATCTCTGTTATTACCTCATCCCTTCCCTTTGCATAAACAGAAGTACAAAACTCCAAGAGTGAATTGTATCCCTTGCTAGTTCAAGTGTGGCACCAGCAGACTTTGTCACTGAGAGAGAGAGAGCATACCAACCATTTTCATGGTGTGATGTGCAGTGCATGGGAAAGGCCAGGTCCAAGGAAAGGAAACAGGTCAGTGGTTAGAACAGGAAAGTGCTACCATTACATCCACAGTGTTCACAGACTCTTACTGTTAAACAGCCAATACCTTAATGAATGTTTCCATATTGCCGTTAAAGAGTTTATGATTATAGACTGAGAGAGGCCTAGGTCTCCTCATTTTCTGTGGTTTAGGGGGAAGACAGGGGGGCCTGAGAAAATGGAACAAAAGAAATCATAAAACATCAGTATGAATACAATTGCAGGGAAAGAGCTCCAAGACTGCAAATAGAGACCCAAGGAAGCCTCCATGAACTTTTACCTTGACATCTTCTTCAAATGTATGTCATTTAAATACAGATGACATGAAGAGTTTAGAGCAAGGTCTCCCCTGAATCTTAAGGACACAGTACAAGCTTCCTACTTTGGAGGAAGAGGGTTGGGATATTGCTTTATTATTGCTATTAGGGAACTTCTTTTTAAAATGTAGTTCACTTTAAGCAGGACAAAACAATATTTAAAATAAGCCGGGAGGTAAAAGCAAATCTTCTCTCCTCTAAAAAGGTTCTAAGCCCTTAAACCACCATGATCCTAGCTTTTTAAATTTTTGCACAAACTCCATCTCATCTCAATCCACTATTATCCTTCACTACAAAGGGCAGACTTAGTGGATTCTGACAAACTAAAAAGGTTTCTTTCAACTGCCTCTCCAAATATAAAAAATCCATGCACGTAGAATCAAAATGATTCTTTTTCTACAATTTGAACTGACCAATATCTTCTATAATCTTGAATTCTCATACATTTGGTTAGAAAAAGAATTCTACATTTGAAGGGAGCTGGTCTCTAAAAGCCATTCTATTCTACCGTTATAGCTACCCAGAGTTGTTTTGTGTGAGATGGGCAGCTGTATAAACATGATGAATACAGTAAATAAATAAATAAACAAACAAACAGTTCCAAACTTCTTTGTTCATTAAACAGTTCATTAAACAATGAAGCTTTATTGTTTTTTTTTTAAGTATTAGTTCTGTTTCTTTTGTTGCATTGGGTGTCAGACCTTACAACCTATTGTTTTTCCTTTTTCTACATTATTGCAAACTGAGCTAAAAAGCAAGAGCCGCATTTATTTGGGAGTTCTAGAAGCCATTCACTTGTATCTCCTTCCTTGGCAGAAAGCAGGCAGAGATCTGAATGAGTCTACAGACTGAGCCAGAATGACCAGCTTTGATCAGTCCTTCAAGGCATTATGCATGTTAAAAGAAGAGGAAGTGTGACCAACAACAATAAAGAACATTATCTTAGTACCCTCAGACCTTGGAGTAGAAGTGAATTTCATACCTTAAAAAGTTGTTCATTTACATAACAAAAAAGAAACTAAGAAACTAAGCAAGGCTTTAAAGCTAACATATCCCTCTTTTCATATAGCATTTTTTTCATATAAAAGAGTACCCAAGAGCCCTAGAACATACCCAATTTCTATGGGAAGAAATCACACTACATTTAAATTTCAGGATGTCCAGATAAATCTCTCTTCTGATCCAATTTCTGGTTCAGAAATTACCATATCTCCCCCATGTTGGCTTTATAACATCTTTAAAGAACATAGTCCTCAAGGCTCCCAAGAAAATAGTGAGTGAATGCTGGCTTGGCTCTTTGTCCTATTTCTCAGTAGCGTATCTTCATGTAGCTGGTTGGCTCTGTGTTCATGTGTGTTCTGATGCCCTGTATTTTGCTTAGGGAGTAGGCAGGCTCCTTGGCTCAACATTTTCATTTTGTTGGTGTAAGCTAGTGCTTATGAGAAACAACTACATAAGAATTTAAAGGAACAGAGATTTCTGGTTTTTCTGTTTTATCCAAATTATTTAACTTGACCAATCACCAGCAGAGGCTACCTGGAATTGCTTGGCCTTTCTAGGCAATGAAGCTCCAGTTTATGCAAAATGAGCTAAATAAATTTGGATTCACTTACATTTCAGTCAAAATAACTGAATGACCAGGAGGGTCTCCTGTATGCCTAATATCTTTATTTTTTCTGCAGCCTGGAAATTAAATATCTTGCGTTCATTATAAACCCAAGAGTCTCTACTTTATGTAAGCAGGCTAAGCCTGACAGTTTCCTTGTAGCTTCTTCCACTATATATTTGGTAAATATTATCCCCTCCCTCTTTTCTATCTTTCAGTGAGAAAATTTAGAATTAGCATGCTTCTCCACATGCCAGGATAGGCATTCTAACCAAACTGCTTTTCTGTACATGAATGATTGCTTCCTTATGCCTACGCATTATGCATATCAAAGAAACTTGGAAATCTTCCCTTTATCTGAAAATGTAAATGATCATTTGAGCTAATGATTCTCCATTATTGGTGAATCTACATGAGAATGTGAGCTAATAAATCCCCAATTTAGGAGTAGCTATTACTAACACAGAGCCATCAGTGCATAAATCAGCTGTGGGTAGCGTACACTTCTACAAAACCCATTCAGTTCTTCCTTAACTGCTTTTTTATCACTACTGCCAAGTGCTTCTAAATTACCTTTCACTACTTAACTGAATCATGTATTGCTCTCTTCCCAATTTCTGAGAGCAGCTCAGTTTTGTCAATTTCCTAAATGTTACTTATTTTTTTCTGAATTCATTCCTTCCCCCCTTACTCTTCCTTCTTATTGGAATTCAATATTTATTCTCATTCCTAATGCCTGTTCTTCACCCTCTTTATTACAGACAAAAGAATGAGTCAGAAGCCATCATATATCAGGATCTGGAGATTAATCAAATATCTGAGGATTTAAATTTAGTCATCTATCCCTAAGCACATCCTAACCAGCAAAGACTCACAGTTTGGCTAAGGGAGATGGTCACTATTACAAGTAGCTGAACAAACTGATATATCCAAGAAGACCCTGCAGTCCATTCTGCTGACAGAGCCTTACTCATGATTTCAAAGCAAGTCAGCTAGAAATTGCCACTGCAGCAAATACAAGGGGCTTTTTGTTGTCCTTCTAATTAATCTATTTGAGTCCTGTAATGCAGCCACAAGTAAGCCACTCATGCAGGGAGAGAGCTGCCATTCATTTTTATCTTTTTTTCTGTTCACAGCTCATGTTTGGAAGATTTTTATAAATTTGAAGCAGATGGATTTTAAAAGTCCATCTTATAGAAACAGTACCAACCAATCCCCAGAATAAACTACAAAAACAAAGAGTTCCACTTACCTAGTTGTTCCACATTCAGCTCTTTCACCTGGGGGGGTGAGAGGGAAGAAACTGTATGTTAATTTCAACCTTACTATTTATTTACATGTATATGTGGCAGAAGTACTCTGTTTTGGGGGGAAAGAAATAAAACTGAGATTGATATATTGCTGTAGCCCCTGTTTTTCAAATTTGGCAACTTAAAGATGTGTGGACTTCAACTCCCAGAATTCACCAGCCAGCATAGGGAATTCTGGAAGTTGAAGTCCACACATCTTAAAGTTGCCAAGTTTGAAAAAAACTGCTGCAGCCCATAGGGTCTTGTCTTAAAGGCAACTGAAAAGACATCTTTCAATCAGCCATTTGCAGGATAGAAACCATGCCCAGATCAGACATTTGAAGGCCTTTTAAAAATCAAAGGTGTTTTAATTCTTGTATTTTCACTGCTTTGTTTTAAGATAGGTAGTTTAATTGTTAATGGTTTTATTCAATTCTTTTTTTTAATTCTTTGTATATACTATTCTGATCTCCTTCAGAAGGAAGTGTTATCATCATTATCATCCACGTATACTCCAAAGAGTTTGAAACTTAAGAGCCTTGTACATCTCGTTCCAACAGTTGTTGAGGCATTGTGTGTTACTGTTTCAAGATTTCTTTCAAGGGTCAACTTTCACGCTATGCTAACTATATGGCAAACTGTTCTGCCTTCTCTTTATTTTTAAAAAATAAGGTCTAAGAAACGGGAGAATTTTGTGAGGAATTGCAATGCATGGGCGTGAGACATTTACTCTTTAAATGTCACAGAGCCCTCCATGGCTACAAACTAAAGAAAAGTGTTGCTAGTGGAAACATTTTTCTGTTGCTTCTAACTGTGCAAAAGAGTCATTTTTCAGAAAGCTGGGACTGGGGACCAGGGACCTCCCCTCCCTGTGTTCTGTAATTGCCTCCCCAATGCCTCCAGCAGAAATAAATTGGAAGACAAACCTGCATAATACTGCATATTTACTATAATATGTAATTTGGCCACTAAATAACATTTTCCTAAGAACAAATCAGGATGTTTCCCTCAGAATACAAGCCTATTTAGTTTAGTACAGTATCCTCTAATGGCACCATCAATTCTAGAAAGATTAACTGTAGATGCCAGAGACTGAATCTGGACTCTTTAAAAGTAGTCCTCAAGTTATGATGGTAATTGGGACCAGAATTTCCATCACTAAGTGATGCAGTCATAAAGTGCGATGTCACATGACTGCATCACTTAGCGACGGGGATCCTGGCAGTCCCTGTTGCCACTGTTAACTAAATACCACTGGTTGCTAGGTGAGGACACACTCCGATCCAAATCATTCCTGGCTTGGTTCCTCCCAGACCCAAGCTTCATTAAGGTAGCGGACTGCCTCCTCTATTTCCTCTTCAATACCCCCCCACACACTTATCCCCCCCCCCCCCCAATCTCTGCCCTTTTGGCCATCCTGCACAGCAGCACTCCTCAGCAGTGATGCTGGGGCTAAAGTAGAGGCCCAGGGCCTTCAATAGTTGAAGCTGGTCACCACCATCCCCAGGCCTCTACTTCAGCCCCAGCACCACCACCAAGCGCCACCTCAAGCCCCACCCTGCAGCCAGCCACCCCAGCACCATAGTGCAAAGCCCCAGCCACCTCTGCTGCCCTGCGTTCCGCAGGCCCTGCCATGCCCAGCTGACCTTTGCTGTCTTCTCATCCTGCTGCTGACAAGGTGCGCTTAGCCTGGCATTATGCGAGGCAGCTGCTGGCCGCACCAGGCCTTCTTCCCAAAGCTGCGTGCATGCTTCTCCAAATTGCGTGCTGCCTTCTCACAATGTTTCAGAAAGCTTCTGAGGTCTTCCAAAACATCGCAAGAATGGCATCACTATTTGGAGAATGGTGCAAGCAGCCTCAGGAAGGAGGCATGGCGCGGCCAGCGGCTGCCTCACAAAGGGCCAGGCCAGGCGTGCCTCATCAGGAGGAGGAAGAAGAAGGTGAGGGTCAGCTGGGCATGGCAGGGCCTGCATAGCGTAGGGTGGTGGGGGATTTGCGCTGTGGCACTGGGGTGGATGGCCATAGTGCAGAGCTTGAGGTGGCACTCCTCGGCGGCAGGCCCTGGGCCTCTACTTCAGCTCCAGTGCTGCCGCCGCTAAGGAGTGCCACTGTGCAGGGCAGCCAAAAGGGCAGAAATGTGGGGGAGATAGGCTGGTAGGGGGAGTTGAAGCACCCCTTTAGTCTAAGTGTGGGTGGGCCACCAAGCACCTGGATTTTGAACATGTGACCG